ATTTTAGTACATCTCTACCAATAGTGGGTTTAAAAAAATTCTGCCATTTTGATAGGCAAAAAATGTTGTCTCATTGTAACTTTGTTTACTGGTACTATGGATTTTTTTCATGTTATTGACCATTTTTGTGTCTTTTGGTTAACGTAGAGTTTAAGGTCTGTGGCTTACTTTCAGTTGGAGTTTTTGGAACTCAGGAGTTCTGTCTTAGCAATTGTTTTAGAAATAGTATTTTAGATTTGGAAAATAAGGTAGTGTTCCCATGACTGAGTGTGGTGATGTTTCTCAAATGCGTTTCCCTCCTACTTCCCGACCCTTCGTTGTTTTAAAGAAATCTGTATCGTTTGCTGGCGTATGGATGCACCTAGTAGCTAGCCGAGCTTTATAGAAAATTTCCTTGAGCGTACTGTCTCTACTCTGTCTACTTGTATCTCAAGCATTTCAGCTGATGGTTAATTTCAAAACTTCGATGTAGTCAGGATTTATAATAACGTGATTAAGGTAGGTTCTGCCTGAGTCCTGGTGCACGACAGAAACTTGGCTCTTATCCGTTGCCGTTCTCCGAGTGGTGTTGCACTCATCTGTTCCTTAAGCGTTAACGTCTTACCTTTTGTGCTCTGGAGGTTGGGGAGAGGGTGAGACTTTTCTCTGATTTTGCCTTTATGATTTTGTTTATTTTCTCATATGCTGTTTCAGTTCATTTGTTTTAAAATGTGATAGAACTCCAGACTGTTTTTTGAAAAATGATAGTCTTTTGCTATTGGCAAAAATGATAGACATTTTTGAAGTCTTCTCTTAAGCATATTTAGTTCTTGAAGACTTGTTTTTAAAAGTGACCTATTTTATAACATTCAGTATGCAATTTTGCATTCTTTTAGGGGTGGAAAAATCTGTTTTTGTCATATTCTTGCAGCATTCTTTGACTTGTTGTGAATCCTTTCCCTTTTCCTGGCATTGGAATCTTTTTAAAACTAACACTTTCATAATTTAGGTTTGTGGGTATGCCATAATAAAATGGAAATAGTCCTCGAGCTGTATGTCTTCTTCCTCACCTTGTGCTCTTGGCGCACCATTGTTATTTTTGAATCAGCTTAGCTAGATGGTTTAGAGCTGGGCTCTGCATTTGTCAGCTGTGTGCCCTTGGGCAAGATAACCTTTCTTGGGTTCCTTATCTGTAAAATAGGGACAAGAGGATTGTTAGGACTGAATGACAAAATGCGTATTTAGGACAGTGTCTGACACATAGATCTTTTATTTTTTTAAGGTATTTTATTTATTTTTTTCCTGCCTTTTTTTCCTCCCCATATCCCCCCAGTACATAGTTGTATATTTTAGTTGTGAGTCACTCTAGTTGTGGCATGTGGGACGCCGCCTCAGCGTGGCCTAACGAGCGGTGCTATGTCGGCGCCCAGGATCCGAACTGGCGAAACCCTGGGCCGCTGAAGTGGAGGGCGTGAACTTAACCACGGCCACGGGGCCGGCCCCATGACACATAGATCTTTAATAAGTGTTAGTATATTCCTAATATTTATCTGCATGTTACCTGATTAGCCAGTTTCACCAAGTTGTTATAAAGATCATCTGTGAGAATGGATATAAAAGCAGTAAATAAATGTTAGGTGGATGTATAGGTATGATAGAGAAGTGTGTAATCTTGATAACAAGTAGTCACTTTTCTTTGCACAGCTAATGTTTAGAGACCAAGTCGTGTATATTAGTTATTCTTTTATTGTTACAGGAAATAAAAATCCATTTTATATATATATATTTTATAATAATTCTCTCAAAATCAAATAATTTCCCTTTTAGAGTTGTTCTACTAAATAGCTTCTAGTTTCTGTGGTACTAAAATTTAAATGAATACCAGCGCTGTAGTCTGTGGTCTGCAACCGAGCTTGTGATCATGCTGAGGCGGCTGTTGAATTTAAGGCTGGCTCACCGCTGGTTAATGCAGCTATGAAGAGAGGAAAAGGTTTCCAATTATTAAATGAGGATGGTATTTTTAGATGTCGCCAAAATCCCAAATTGATACATCTACTCTTGACCTCCTTCCAGAGTCCTCTATCCCCAGCTGCTTTTGGATGGTTCCACTTGGATATTTTTGCTATCGTTTCAAATTCAGTATATCTAAAACTGAATTTATGCTCTTGCTTGCAGAATTGGTGCTTCCTCTGATTTTCCTTTTTCTATTAATGATACCACCATTTCCCAGGACCCAGGCTTGCTCATCTTTGATTGCCATCTTGACCCCTTCCCTTTGCCTTGTTTCTGGGTCCGTCTTCAGCAGTCTCTTGTGTCCTTCACTTCCCGTTTCCACTGCTGTCTTCCAGCGTCATTTTCTTTTCTCTGTAATCTTCTGTCTCTGACTTTTACCACCATCAATATTGAATATGAGATGAATCGTTCCCAAACATAACTCTTAGTTTGTCACTCTCCTCCTCTGACACCATCAGTAGGTCCTTGTTAGCTGTTATGTACAAGCCTCATGTTTCAAAGAGATGTTACTTTCGAGTCTTATCACCAGCCTCCCATCCAGTTTTACTTCTCACTCTTCTCCTAATGAGCCCTTTTCTCCACCCCAACTGTACAAGTGGGTCTCTTCATATCTTCTCTCTTTCTCCCCTTCTGTTTAGAAAGCCCTCCCCACCTTGTTTTTTTGGTGAGGAAGATTGGCCCTGAGCTAACATCTGTTGCCAAGCTTCCTTTTTTTCCCCCTCCCCAAAGCCCCAGTGTATAGTTGTATATCCTAGTTGTAAGTCCTTCTAGTTATTGTGTGTGGGATGCCACTACAGCATGGCTTGATGAGCAGTGTGTAGGTCCACACCCAGGATCCGAACTGGTGGATCCTGGGCTGCCAAAGTGGAGCGCGCAAACTTAACCACACCACTGGGCCAGCCCAATAAAGCTCCATTTTTTTGACTAGACAAATCTGCATATTCTTCCTGTCCTGTTTCTTTAAGATGAAGTCATGTCAGCTCGCTGCCATGCTTCCTCCTCTGAGCTCTAAGCACTTGTGTTCCTTTCTTTCATTTGGTGCTTAATCATTTACTGTTTAGTATTGTCTCCAGTTTCTGAAGTGCTTAACTCTGCCTGTTTGTCTGGTCTTCTGTGGATCCCCTGCTCCTTGAGGGTGGGGATTATTGCTACTTCTTTTATTCCCCAGAACCATGCTGGGATATAAAATGAACATGCAATAGTTACTATAATATTGTTTGATGAAAATATTTTTCTAAAGAATAGAAGCTTTTCAAAAACTTTAAGGTGAAACTGGCTAGGGAGTATATTACTACTTTGTGAATAAAGTTTTTGAAATGCTGACTTTGATGGAAGGAGCACTATTGAGCTTACAGTAAAGCTGCCTGTTCAGGAGACTCCTAAATGGGTGCTGGGATGCCAGCCTGGTGGTGTAGTGGTTAAGTTTGCACTCTCCATTTCAGCGGCCCAGAGGTCACGGGTTTGGATTCTGGGTGCCAGCCTACACACTGGTCATCAAGCCTTGCTGTGGTGGTGTCCACATACACAGTAGAGAAAGACTGGCATAGATGTTAGCTCAGGGAAAATCTTCCTCAAGCAGAAAGAGGAAGATTGGTGACAGATGTTAGCTCAGGGCCAATTTTCCTCACCAGAAAAAAAAAAAAGAAGAAGAAAAAAAAAATCAGTGATGGGGGATGGCTGCCCTTAGAACCTCACTTTCCACAGAGAAGGCAGGCAAAGGACTGGCTAAGTGTCAGCCAGAGTTCAGGTTCTATGATTGCAACTCCGTTAACTTCTAACTTCAATGCCCCACCTGTCCTTTTTGGGGGACAAACCTCATTCTTGTCCTGGTTTTGATGGAAAACACAGAGCCAGGAGTAGGGAGGAAGAGGCAGGGATATAGAGTAGAGCAGGCAGGAAAACTTGTAAAACAGTGTGGAATGTTTCATCTGTCTTGTCACCTTGCTGCCAATGCTCCTGCTCTTGATTGGAAGCAGAACTTGGAGAGTGGGCTTGACCCTCTGCAGGGGGGAGGCTGGCAGGAAAGAAACCTGGAAGGAGATTGGGTTTCCTTCTCGTGGCTCCTTTGTAAACTACCTTTTCTGTGTCTCCATGGAATGGGTCAGTTGGGCTTTTTGGGTGGGATGGGGAATGGTCAGTGGGAAGATGGAGATAACAGTGGTTACTAGTGTAAGGGAATTTTAAGTGTAGTTCTCCCCCAGACTATACTCATATTTCCCCCTCAGTAGCTTCAGCAGGCAAAGCAAGAGGGCAGAGAGACCAGAGGTCTTGAGGCAGGGGACAGAATAAATTAGGCAGTTTCTGTTTTGCAACTGATTAGCTGTAAAATTTGGGGCCAATGATTTTTTTTTTTTTTTTTAAAGATTTTATTTTTTCCTTTTTCTCCCCAAAGCCCCCCGGTACATAGTTGTGTATTCTTCGTTGTAGGTTCTTCTAGTTGTGGCATGTGGGACGCTGCCTCAGCGTGGTCTGATGAGCAGTGCCATGTCCGCGCCCAGGATTCGAACTGACGAAACACTGGGCCGCCTGCAGCGGAGCGCGCGAACTTAACCACTCGGCCACGGGGCCAGCCCGGGGGGCCAATGATTTTATACTCTCAGGCGGCAAGGACTAGCAGTGTCCTGGAAGGGCTGTTCCTGTGCATTTCCCGGTTGACTGTGAATGTGAGGGGATGCATTGATACTGGTTTTTGGGAATCTTGTAGCTCATTCTGTGTAGTTGAGCGTGCATGTAGGAATCCTTTCCCAGAGCCACTAGACTCAGAAAACTTTCCTCCTTGTCTGCGTTGTAGTCCCTTTTAGAATAGACTTGGAACTGTATCTTCTGGAAAGGAAATTTCAATTTCTCATTATAGATTATCTGCCAACGTTTAATAAATCATCTTTGCAGTTAAAGGGTTATTATTATTTTTACAAGGAATCTTACTTTCTATGACATAAATAATAGTTATTAAATAGTGTTTCTTTATAAAAATCTTGTAAGAATTTTTTTCCCCTTAATCTTTATAGAAAATGTGCCAGAGGAACTTCAAGAACCATTTTACACAGATCAGTATGACCAGGAACACATCAAACCGCCTGTTGTTAATTTGCTCCTGTCGGCTGAGCTGTACTGTCGTGCTGGGAGCCTCATTCTCAAGAGTGATGCTGCGAAGCCCCTTTTGGGCCACGATGCTGTCATCCAGGCTCTGGCACAGAAAGGTCTTTATGTCACTGACCAAGAGAAACTGGTAACTGAACGAGATCTCCACAAGAAACCCATACAGATGGTGAGTCTTTTATATACCCGAAGTTACTTTGGTTGAAGTGCGTACTTTGGGGTGTGAATTGTATTATAAAACAGAGGGAAATCTGTTTTGGAATTTGATTGTCTTTTCTGCCTAGGGTTTTTAAAAAACTTTTTCCTGACAAACTTTGTTTCCAAATTAAGGAAAATTTAAATAAACTATCTTGGAGTGTTTGATGTCATCCTAATACCTGGGGGAGACAAATACGTAATTTCCAACTACTGTAAAATGATTTTTATTCAATTTTAAAACTTTTTTTCCATCATAGAGACTAGCTAGGAGAGAGGGAAAGTGCACCCTGATCTGTTCCCACTAGGAAAGAGGTGAGCTTTGTAAGTGTTCATTTACGCGTGCGAAGGACCTCTCGGTAAATGTCTGCATGGTGACGTTGTAGTTTATTTAATAACCGTTAATTCATTCTTGAGGCAAACACACGATGAAGGCCTCTGAACTGGTCTGGGGCGGAGGTGCGGGAATTCATGAAAATCTCTGGAGACGATGCCAAATGTTCGCGCTCCCGTGTGCCGCCCCAGTCTGTTCTGCTTTAGCGGAAGTTTACAGCTGCTGGGCGACGTCAAGGGTGAGTGTAGAAAGACAGACGGAGGCCGGCTTTGCACGTTTGACGAAGTCGTGCTCTTCTGTGAGAGCAGTGGTCTTACTGCAGAGGAAGGGGGAGTATATGTGGAAGAATATATTAAGGAATATATGACATTTTGAGATTAAAGGATGAACAAAAATTAGTTTACCAAATCTAGTACTAAATGCGGTGATGACCTACTCTGCTTTCTGCCTATTTTCCTTCTTAAAAAAACTATTAAATGACTTTCAAGGAATGGAGACTTTCTCAAGAAAAATTGAATGAATTTAGTTATAGATTTGTAATGGAATTGTTAAGGATAACTAAGAATATTTATTGTCAAATAAGAGATTTTCAAGTTTCATTGATGGTTTCAAGTTCACTTTATGGTTACCGTCTGATTTTGTCTACCTGCCTTGTGTACATAGCACGTATGTGAACAGCACCAGGGGTGAGCGCTCTCCTTGGGTGACCTACCCGTGTGAGAAACCTGTGTGAGAAAATTTCTCAGAGTACTGGTAAAAACTGTGTTCCTTAAGAAACTCTTTTGTTTGGTTTTAGCGTATTAAGTATCAGTTTCCTTCATTGTCCTGCTTTTTGGGAAGGTTAATGAAGAATAATGTGTGTAATTGTACTGAATAGATTTACCCCTCCCCCTCGGTTCTAAATTATCTTAGTACTTTTGAGATCTTTTATTTATGTATGCTGCCTAACAGCGTTTTGGGGAAAAAAATTGTGTAGTGGTAGCAAAAGTATCATCATAAGTGTAAGGCGAGTTTGAGTAAGCAGAGCTTATTAATTTTGGGGTGGGTGGGGATTGAGAGGAAGGTTTTTTTAATGAAAACACATGTTGGAGAATCTATGCTTTTTATTTGAGTGCTTTTAAAGACAGATTTTTAAGAGTATAGCCTTTAAAATGTTTTCTTCTATATTTATAACAATGGAAAAGTATTTTCAGACACTGGTTTAACCAAGCTGCTTACTAATTATAATAAAGTTTTTTCAACACAGAGTCATAAGATTCCTAGAAGGAATGTCATTGTGATCTGCCTAATGAATATCACAAATATGTGAGAGAAGGACAAATGTAAACAATATGCAGTTACAGTATTAAAATGCATTAATGTCTGCTTGAATCAGCGTTTAGTGTATGACTGATTGGGTGCCAGAGGAAGAGTGTATGTATCAAAATCCCAGGGGAGCATCTTTCTACCAAAATACGCTCTAGTCCAAATCGTGTTATCTATCAAATTATTTGTCAAAATAAATACTGGTATCTAGAATCACGTGAAAATTGAGGGCCTTCTAGCAAATGGAGCCAGATGCTGAAAAAGATAGCTTAAGGGTACAGAGAACGTTTTGATCTTTCTTCTCTAGCAAAATGAAGTTGCATGTGTTGCATTCAGTATCATCAGGTTGGGCCAGGGGATTTGATGAGTGTCATAAAATCTTAAATTCATAGAATTTATAGCCAGAAAGAACCTAAGAAATCAGAAACCGGTACGTGTAAAACTTTCTGATCATGAGGAACATGAGTCCTTGGGCACCTTTGAGTCCAGATTCCCTGGCCCTCTAGTCAGAGCTGCTCAGTTAGAACCTTCAGAAGAGGGGTTGGGACATGTATTTTTAAACAGGTATGCTGAGTAATTTATGATCAAGAATGTGTGGAACACTGACCTAATCCAGAGTCGTCTTACGTGTGTGATACTTAGAGTTTAGAGGGGTGGGCCATGTGCCTGAGGCGGCGCTGTTATTCAGTAGCAAAACTAGAATTAGAATCTGAATGAGCCAGCACTGTGATTTCTAATTTACGAAACCAATTCCACACGTAAATGTTTGGAATCGTATTTACCCGGCTATTTACCTAAACTGTAGACTGGTTATGAATCAAACTCTTGGTTGTAAATCAGTTTTCCAACCATGTTTGCATATATAGGAAATGAGTTGATATTTATAAAACTCAATTATTGAAGTAAATGTATGTGTGATATGAAATAGGTTGATTTTCATATGTGACTTGTAAAATAACATTTATTATTTAATCATTCTTGATTTGGAACAGTCATCATTATAAAAACCCAAAATTTATTTTGAAGTGCTTTCTTTTAATGAGTTCCCAAAAGCGATCGAATATCGTATTTGCTCAATGGAAATTAAAGTGGGCCTGATAGGTCATTTGGTAAGGAAGGCATAAAACATTGTCTCATAAACGGTCAGTATTGTTACAGTGAGTGTTTATGGATGTTCAGAACATATATGCTAAAAAGTTATTGTGCGTCCATGCTACTAGCCATTACACTGCTTTATTATAATGGGAAGGCCAGTGAAGCTGCGGGGAAAACACAGAAAGGTGATGGAAGTGTTTTTTTACCCTCAAGAAGGATATTCCTATATGTGAGAAGTGTTATTTCATTATATCTATTTGGTAGTCTGTGCGTTCAGCTGACCACTGACACTTCCTCTTGTGTGATGTTGAGCTTAGAATCTGGTGAGGAAGAAGGCTGGAGAAAAACTAATTAGACAGCATGAGCTGAGGGCTCTAATACAAGTTGAAGCTGTAGGCACTGGGATGGTAGAGGTCGATGTGGTGGCTTCTGCTGGGGAGCGTGAGGGAAGGAAGGCATCACAGGGCGGAACGATCACTGGGGCTTCAGCGGGTGGGCAGAGCGATGGCCTGAGAGTGCTGACCAGGTGCAAGGAATTGGCGACTCAAGTTGGCACTGTGAAAGTACGAGTTACGACTTAGGGCGTTGACTGCGTGGAGGCTGAGATGAGGGTGAAGAATAGGATGGGGCTGGCTCGTGGAGAGGCTGTGAGCTGAGGTTAAGGATGTCTGACTTCTTTGTGGCTTACAGGATCCTAGAAGAAACTTTCTTACTGTTTTCTCTGGGCTTTTGTTGTTGCTTTATTGTTTTTTTTTTTCTCTGCCTACATTAGACAAAACATTGCAAAACACTGTGAAACACTTTGTGAACTGCTGTACTGTCAGCTTAGTGTGAATTACTTCAGTTTATTAATTCTCAGATCTTCCTTACTGGCTTATGTTTATCTGCACCCTTGTTCACTTAGACTCTCTGACAACTGTTTTTGTTTGGTTTATATGTGCCAGGCACTGTGCTCACACCACATACTCTGTCTCATGTAGTTTAGTTCTTACAACAACCCTAACAGGGAAGTACATTGTCCCTGTTCCACCCATAAGGAAGCTGAGGCTGTGAGAACATAATTAAGGTCACAGAGCAAGCACAGTGGCTAGTGAAGGCAGGATTAAGACCATCTCTGCTTTAACGAGAAATCCCACACTCTGAACCACTGAGTTGTATTTTTTGTCTTTGCCTGGGTAATGGGAAGGGAGCAGGAACAGGGTAAGAGGAAAGTGGGTGTGGAGAGATGGAAGGAAGAAGTGATGCGCTACGGGATCTGCCTGGTGGTTTGAGATCTTGGTCACTTGCCCAGGCTTCTTTTCAGAGTGGTTCGCCCATTCAGTTCTGGTCTTGCAGGTGGTGTTAGTGTCGTGTGCTGGGGCGTAGCTGGAGCTCTGAGCTGGAGCACTGCTGATGGAGGGCGAAGCAGCCTGCGTTGGTCTGTCCCAGTTTCCTGATTTTAAGAATGTGCGAGGTAATCTCCTAGTTACCATTATTTTGCTGAAAATAGGAAAGGTGCTGAGAACAGAGAAGCTGATCGCAAGAACGTTGTGTTGTCCTCTTTCTTTTTCTTCCTCCCTCCCTCCCTTCCAGCATATTGGTCCTGTTGGCAGCTACTCTTATGGATTTCTGTGGTGTCACCATCTGTTGGAACTCAGTGTAATTCTACTTGTGTAGAAGCTTTAAAAAAACTCTTTTTCCCATTTAAGAAGATTAAAAATTGCACTTTAGAGGAAAAGGATTATCTGAATGTAACATCGATAGTCGTTGAGATACTAATTCCTAGTCACCCTTTTATAAAGCCTTGCAAATTTATGGGCAGAAGCTGTCTGTGAAAAGTTATTTTCAATCTCACGGCTTTGTTGAACTGGGCTTTTCTTCTTCATACACAGAACTGGATCTCAGTTTTCTGTTTCCCACTAATCATGTACCTAGTTTGGAGTCCATTATTTCTAGGTAATGTATACACCTCAGTTATAAATTCACATTATCTTTTGATATCTTACGGCCACGTTTATTATGTTTGAGTCAGTGTTTATATGTAATAATTTATTTAGAACTCTAAGATTAGTTTCTCATAGAAATAACTTGCTGAATGGTGCTTATTGTACCAGATGATCTCACAAAAACCTTTTATTTTTATAGTAAAACTGAAGTCAGTCAGGCCATTTATTAATTTATTCAGTGTATTTATGGAGCTTTTGCTATGTACTGTGTATCGTCTACTGTGATTTAAAAAGTTTCTATCCTTCAGTGTCTCA